TATATATATAAACAATAAATTTCAGTCTTACAAAACCAACTTATAAGATGAATTTTGCCTTTATGTATATATTTTAAATTGGTTTTATTTCTAGTTGATGTTAGACTTCCAACACAAAGAATACCAAACTACAATATTTTATCTTGACAAGTTTGTTTCTTTATGCATACTTGTAATTTCTGCAGCCTAAATTTTAGACATGTACAAAAAATCCAAATATTGAAATCGAATTCATATCATACTGATATAAATCACTTTAAGTCCATTTTAATGGATCCATATCTTTGGATTTTTAGTTCACTCCACTTAACTGGATTGGGATTTAAGAAGAACCAAAATCAACGTTCGTCCTAAGAAATCATTTGGTCAAGATAATTTTTAGCTGCTTTCGCCTGATAATTTTTTACTCTATATGCAAACTTTTTCTTTGGTTTAGAACATAGTTGGAGTGTTGCTGGGTTGACCTTGGATGGGACATCCTTGGCACGGTCTTGACCTGGATATTTATTGATTTATTTTTACCAATTAGAAAACTCTTTCAACGCCTAAGTATGACCTTTTAAAGTTTGTTAACATGACCTGAGTTATAGAAAAACTTACAAACGAGCTAATAAGCTGAATTAGGCCAACCGACTTATAAAGGCCATCGGCTCTTGTTCATCACATAAATAATTTTTTGTATATTTCAAAGACTGATATTAAAGGAAATAAGAAAATGTATGCAAGGAAAAGTCATTATATTAAAATTAGATGGGCATATAGAGCATATATAAGTGCTCATCATATTGTCACATGATCAAAATATGTGAAAAAAATTATATGAAAAAATAATTAAACAGTGAAAAAAGTAACACACAGGAAAAAGGGAAAAACTTCAATTAGAATCACCAAATACATGTATCTTTTTGTTAAGCCATCGTGCTAATAACACCTGTATATGATCACTGTCTTTCCCAAAATTACCAATTTAATTTTGAAAAATATCAAGATATTTAGTAAAAAGAACTAAATTGATTTAAATAAAACTGAAATTGAATTCATGAACTAAATTTCCAGGTTTTGATGCCACTTCTATTCAAATTAAATGGATATGAATTTAAACTAATTTAAATCCAAATTTAAATTATATTAAATAAATCATAATCAATTTTTTCCAATGAAATAGATTTGGATTTCAATCCAATCAATTTTCTTGGATTTGGATTGGATATAGATTAGTTTTTTTTTTTCTAAATCCAATGCCCACCCTTACTATATTTTTATATAAATTATTTTTATGGTAGTGCAAAATGGAAATCAAATTTGTATTGTTCGTGACATATCATGCTTGGTCTGTAAGGTTCAAATAGTGATTTGAAGTTTAAACTCGTCTTTGGTGTTATTGTCAACTTACCTGTTTTTGTCCATTAGGTTATTATCAAAGATATGAAGATAAAATTGCTCAGTGGGATGAAGGTTTTGCTAGAAAATGGTATGAAGACGCAAGCTATTTGTGCATGGGGATGGTTTGTCCGAATGCTTGGATCCCATGCTTTAAAGAGTAGGCATCTCGTTAATGATATGCTAAAAATTCCTGAACGTACATTTACAGATCTTGACCCTCAAGTTCAAATTGCTACGCTGGTATTGTATGAGTAACTGGTTTGCTTTTATCTCATCCATGATTCACAAAGATGAAATATTATTTGGGATGTAAACCTGTTCAATATTTAAAGTGACATGATAGAAAGTAGCTTAAAGAATTATGGTTGACGTTCATGCTGTATTTGGTTTTGAGGAAATAAACAGAAGAAATGAAAATAGAGAAGAATTAAGTTGAGAAAAGGGAATAAATAAGAAATAAAATTGAATATTTAGTTTGATAGACTAGAGATGAAATGAGAAACAATATAGTCGGTTCCACAAAATCAGGTCTCTCCCTCTCCATGCTTCCCCCTTCACTTTACCAATGCACAAAACACTTACTAGGTGTTAACATCATTTACTTATTGTTGCTTATGTAACCTTTTCATGTGCCTTATGTGCAGGTTGCTTGGGAAGGTCTTATTGACGCTCTTGTTCATGGTCTAATGTTGGTTTCCACGAAAAACGCATCAGCAGAGGAGAATTCTCTATCAGGAAGGAAAATTTGTGATGATCAAAGAAATGGCTTTTCCAAAAGCATAAAGCTAATAATGACGCCACTGATTGGCATCATGTCCAGTAAATGTGATGTATCAGTTCATTCATCCTGCTTAAACACATGGTGTTATTTGCTACATAAGCTTGATATCTCTGTCAATGAGCCATCAATGATAAAAATAGTTTTAGAGCCTATACTTAAATCAATATTTCAGAATGAACCTGATAGCAAGAACATCTGCTTATGGAGCCTGGGCCTCGATCTGCTCGCTGATAGTATTTCACAGAAGAGTGGGGAGGTCCTCTACCGGTCAACTGGCTGGGTAAGCCACAGAAACTCTGAAAATGGACATTCTCAATCTGGAAAATGCTCTTGGAAGCAACGCCAAATTATATGGATGCCCTGGAATATCAATAACTTGGACTTTTATCTGAGTACGATTCTTCATGTTGTCCATCAAGCATCTCTGCCAACTGTCACTTATGATCATAGAAGTCACGTTTATGATGCTGCTTTGAAGTTATTTATACATACTCTGAAAGGAGTCAAACTGCATGTTGAAAGTACATCTACTAATTATGGAGGTATTATGCAGTGCTTGACCTTATTAATAACATTCATCAAGAAAGTATGTGAAGATTTGTGCTCGGATGTTGGAGAAAATTATGATGTTTACTGTATTTCCGTTCAGTTCATAGATGCTATCACAAAGGAGTTAGGTCCTTCAATCTTGCGATCTCCTCTGTACAAAATTTCTATAGATCTGAAGTACATTGAAGACATGCAATCAGTTGATCATAATAAACATCTAAAATTTCTTAGTGTCAGTTGTGTTTCTCATATGGATAAGGTTTCTCCATTGGTTTATTTGATAGCACTGTACTTCTACATGATGGTTCAGTTAACCATGAAATCCCATCAAACAGATCACGCATCACAAGGGATGTGTGAATATTTTAAATTTATGTTTTCTTCAAATGATCCCCTGGAAGATCTCTTCACCAGCATTAGTTTCTTGTATAGACACGTTCAACCAATTTACTTAAACATATGGGTAGCATTAGCTCAAGGTCTGAACTACTGTGTATCTGATCCAAACTGCAAGTCATTACAGGAAGCCTTGTCTGACAGCACTGTATATTCTTCCATATGCCATCTTTTAATTTACCCCATCCTGGCACTTTCTGGAGTTCCAAGAATGACCGTGACAGCTAGTGGCTCTTTGGACAAATATCCTGTATCACCAGAAAGAAAACCGAGATTTGAACTGGTTATTCAAACATGGAAAGCACTTCATGGATCTCTTTGTAATTTGTTCATTGGATGTTCATCAACCACCAATTTCTCTGGGGACCTGTGCTTGTTGTTAAGCAGCTACCTTGATGAAAATAGTGACATGGTTGAGAGCGGTGCTGATTTTGACTTAACACGCAATGATGTGGATTTTGGTTTCCTTCATTTATCTGGCAATTTCTTGATTTGCATTCTAGAAAAGATTCAGACTTTGGAATTAGTTTCTGAATTGGACAAAAGTAAATTTGACCGTGATAGGAAAATATTGTTCTGTATAACGAACTGCTTAAAATTTGTTACCAAGTAAGTTTCAATATGCTTTGTAAGGATCTGATGAGCCTTTCTAGTTGTTTAATACGTGATTGCCATGTCTATTTTTTATTGTGTGGGGTATCTGTTTCATATCTTTGGATGATAAAAGTTGAATGGTAGAAACAGTGCATCTTCAAAATGGATGTACTTTTTATTAGCCTGATATTTCTATCGTCCTGTGTTGAGTTGGGGATGTAAAAGCAATGTCACTGGCGTTTTGACATATACTAGTCTTTTTGTTTTAATTTTATATGTAGGCGTCTATTCTATTTCTTGTGTGAAGTTATTAGCATTTTGAGATTATGATCACAACTTATTCAAGTAATTGACTTGCTTATTTGTATTTTGCTGCTTTGCTTAGCATGTATAAGTATTATTTTGATTGTAACACGACCTTTGGGTATTACCTAACCTACTCTAATTGCTGTCAATGGATGTGTCAAGCAAGTGCAAAATGAAGATTCTTATATATAAGTTTCTACTGATAATTTTTATGTCACATTTCAGGTATATGAATTTATTGAGAATAAAAATGGTGCGAGACCCAGTGCCTGAACAGCCTGGATTTGTTGGCACCTCAAGGTAAGTAATATAAGCTGTCTCCTCTAATGCATTCGTGGTTGTTTAATTAGTAACTCTACTTGACTGTCGCTTCATTAATACCAGGCTATATTCTGCGTTGGCATGCTTTATTAGTTGCCTTCACTGGAAGCAAGATATTCTTCAATTTCTAAAGGTTTGTTCCTTCTATTCATACTTAGTTAGTTGAAGTAGCTTTTATGAAACATGTGTATTTATTTATATGCTGCAACTTGGAGGGTGAGGGTTTACTTCACTACTACTACTAATTAGTCCATGATAGAAGGCTCAACTCAGTTATGATACCGGCTAAAGAATAAAGAGTCTTATCACATTCTGTTTGTCTTTTCATCCAAGAACTGCACAAAGGTTGATAAGACCTTTAAGGTGTATGTTAGGAAGAAGGTTCAAAATCAGAAGTTTCATGACAGTTACGATGGTTGGGCAGTTTAGGGGTCGTTAGAGGTAGTTATTAAATTTAGTAAGGGTTATCTTTTAAGGAGGAAATGGTTCCTCCTGGTGGGTGTGTTGTATTTTCTTAAGTTTGGACAGGGTTTATCCTATATGAAGGGATTTATTTCCCTTAAATGCTGTTGAATGTTCCCCTAATTACGTTTTCCATTAATGTTAATGTGAACATACGTTGAATTGTCAGTTTTGTGTGATTAATGTTAGTATATGATCTATAGATTGGTTTCTTACTCTTAAGAAATCTAACAAATTGGTCTGACCTACCGGATAAAAAACACTAAGAGATTCATGGAGAGTAGAGTGAGCACATTAGAGAGGGCAATTGAGGAAATGAGGGAAGAATCTAGAGCCAACTTTCAAAGGCTCAGTGATATGATTGAGGATGTTATGCGCAGACTTAAGAATATTGAAAAGGGTTATGAAGGAAGTAAAGATTCTGCAAATGGTGATAGAGTAGGAAGAAGAGAAGAGGTGCATGAAGAATGGGAGGAAGAAAAAAGAGAAAACCAGCAGGGTGGATGAAAAAAGTAGAATTGCCTTCGTTTGAAAAAGGGGATCCTTCTTTAACCAAGAGAGTGGTGACTCCAACAATTTTATTAAAAGAAAAGAAGATTGAAGTGGTGACATTAGTTGGAAGATGGGTAATGCCGAATTGGAGAAGGGCTGTGAGGAACAAAACCATTTAACAACCAAGCAAAACACAGAGTTGCAGGAAATTCTAAGTACTTTTGAAGGCATATTCAGTACACCACAGGAGTTACCTTGCAAATGGCATTTGAACCATCAAATTCCTATTAAAGCCGGAATAGATCCAATCAATGTGAGACCTTATAGGTACCCACAGCTATTAAAGGCATAAATTGAGAAACAAGTGGCTGAGATGCTCCAGACAGGTATTATTAGACCAAGTAAAAGTCCTTATTCCACTCCAGTGATTTTGGTTAAGAAGAAAGATGGAAATTGACTTTTTTGCATTGATTATCGGGCTTTAAATAAGGCTATAAGTTTAGATAAATTTCCTATCCCAGTGATAGAAGAGTTGTTAGATGAATTGTGTGGTGTTAGTTACTTCTCCAAAATTGATTTAAGAGGAGGGTATCATCAAATAAGGATGAAGGATGAAGGAGAATGATATCCTTAAAATGGTGTTCAGGACACATCAAGGGCACTATGAGATTTTGGTGATGCCATTTGGGCTGTCAAATGCCCCTGCCACATTCCAAAGCATCATGAATACCGTTCTGAAGGAGTTTTTAAGGAAGAATGTGTTTGTTTTCTTTGATGATATATTGGTTTATAGCAAGACTTGGGAGGAGCACAAAGAACATCTCCACCAAGTTCATAGTACTTTAGGACAACAACAGTTGTTTGCTAATTGGAAAAAATGTGAATTTGGGAAGAAGCAGATAAGGTATTTGGGTCATGTTATCTCAAGTTAGGGGGTACAGATGGACGTAGAGAAGGTGTTGGTTGGTCAAGATTGGCCTGTTCCACGGTCTATTAAGGCTCTAAGAAGTTTCTTAGGCCTTACGAGGTATTATAGACGTTTCATTAAAGATTATGGGAAGAATGCAAGGCCTTTGACAGATTTATTAAATAAAGGACAGTTTGTATGGTCCGCTCAATGCACCGAAGCTATGAACATCTTGAAGACAACATTAACAACAACACCAGTACTTGCTTTACCAGATTTCTCTCACATATTTTATGTTGAATGTGAAGCTGCAGGTAGGGGTATTGGGGCTTTTTTGTCTCAAAATCCTCGGCTTATTGCTTATTTTAGCAAGGCTTTAAGTGATTCTTCTTTCTCCAAGTTTATTTATGAGAAGGAACTAATGGCCTTGGTGCTAGCAATTCAACATTGGACACCTTCTTTACTTGGGCAGCGATTTGTGGTTCCCGTGGCTTTTCGCTTCCAGCTGCCAATGTCGGCCTGAATTCATCTTGTCTTCCATGTCTCTCACCTTAAACATGCCATAGGTACCCATTAAGTTGAACAGGACCTTCCAGCAAAACTCTTTTCAAAGTCTTGGATTCTAGGGTGCAGCAACTCCATGGGATATCAGTCCCTCAACTTCTTATTCAATGGAATTCGGGAGGACCCGAAGGTGCTACATGGGAAGATGAAGGGACCATTCGTGATCAATTCTTAGACTTTAACCACCTTGAGGACAAGGTTGTTCGGGAATCCGAGGAGTATTGATAAGACATTTAAGGTGTATGTTAGGAAGAAGGTTCAAAATCAGAAGTTTCATGACACTTAACGGTGGTTGGGCAGTTTAGGGGTCGGTAGAAGTAGTTATTAAGTTTAGTAAGGGTTATCTTTTAAGGAGGAAATGGTTCCTCCTAGTGGGTGTGTTGTATTTTCTTGAGTTTGGACAAGGTTTATCCTGTATGAAGGGATTTATTTTTTTTGGACACTGTATGAAGGGATTTATTTTTTTTGGACACTGTTGAATGTTCCCTTAATTACGTTTTCCATTAATGTTAATGTGAACTTACGTTGAATTGTCAGTTTTGAGTGTTTAATCCTAATATATGATCTATAGATTGGTTTCATACTCTTAAGAAACCTAACAAAGGTGAATGCCTTAAAAACAATTAGTTGTTGCATATGACTTTCATTATGCTTACCAAATTGACAATTACATGATAATTTTCGTTTCATCAAACTAGCCTTAATATTCCTTATACTTTTCTGCAGATTGTTTCCTTCCCACTGCTTGAATGGCTAGCAAATATGGGAACGCAGGATGATAAAGCAAACAACCAACTCCAACTTCTATGGACCGAAATTCTAAGCTGCTTAAGAAGAAGTCAACCTCCTATAAACTTTGGTTCCGCTTTGCTCAAACTTCATGAACCTCTATTTGAGAAAACTCTCAATCACCCATATCCCTCTATTTCAGAACCAACCATCAACTTTTGGAATTCTACATTTGGTCAGCAAATTATTTTGGATTTCCCCTCGAGTCTTCTTTGTGTCTTGGACAGGCTATCCAGAAATGGAAGATTAAAGCTCCAGAAGAGGAGCCTACCATGTCTTCAGAAATGTCAATCTCCTGAGGAAGCCAATGATGCTCCACAGGGATATAGGGTCTCTGCCAAACATAACAGCACTTCTAAGAGGGTGGAACTAGTGTTGGATAAACTACAAGAGACACCTCCTTTAAGTCGTAAAAAGAGAAGGCTAGAACTGACTGAGCATCAAAGGGAAGTTAGGCGAGCACAGCAAGGAAGGGAGAGGGATACTGGAGGACATGGCCCAGGAATTAGAACTTACACTAGCGCTGACTTTACACAAGGTAACGATGATGATTCGCAAGAAAGCATTGAGGAGATAATAAGAGATCCTGAAGCTATATTGCAGATGCTGATAAAAACTATCTGACTTACTTTGAATGCTGCTTATAGATTGTATTATATTTATGGGAGCCTGAATTATTATCAGCTGAAATCTATTTTAACCTGTCTTATTAGAAAATTTTAAATCGCAAAAAAATAAGGAATGTCAGAATTAATAACTTATAGTAAGTAATAAGTAACCAATTACATGTGTGGGGGTTAGGCTATTCACCACACTGAAGGACCAGCTTTCTTAATTTTACATATCTATATTGAGCAGTTGGCTTTTAAGATTGAAGAAAGAAAAGTTATTAAATCAACTAAAATTAATTTAACAAAATGTTTTTATTAATCGTAAATCACATCAAGTACCAGAAAAAAAATGCATGAAATTGATTTAATTATTGTCATATCAACTAAGAATATTTTCATTCTAAGAATTATAATTTTAAAACTTAAGTGTTATAAAAAAAATTGTATTAGAACATCTTATAAAGAAAAATGATTGATCATAAGAATAAAATAACATTATTATATTAAATATTTCTATCAAAATAGGTTCAATATGCAAATATCTAATAACATGATCCATATATGATATTTTGATTATCTATTAATATACTTTTGAGATATATGATACTATTCATGTGATTTCCATTCATAATTTGACAATAACTATTATATCTATTATTATATTTTGTATATCAACATGTCTATAAAACCTAGAAATACATATTATTATTATAACCAATATAACATCTAATAATTACTCTTATTCATAAATACTCACCTATGTTTTATGTTTTCTTATTAATTTGAGTGTGGAAATTTTTGTATGTAAACCTTTTCTTTTTATGGTGATTTGGAGTTATCACACATCAACTACCTTATATATTGTTTGGCCAAATTTGGTAAGAAAAGATATTATTATATTAAATCTTTCTATCAATTATCGAATAATTTTCTTTTAAAATAATATAACATTAGAATTCATAAAAAAATAAATTAAAATTCAATAAAATAACTCTAAAATGGAGATGTCATTTTATGATTATTCAATGTCCCTTGGCATGTCTTTTGGCTATGGCCAGCTCTAAGTTACCATTATCTCTCTCACGACTCTTAGGCTCATCCACAATTCCACAACCATCATTTTCAGAGGTAATCAATCCATGAGGTCTTAAGTGAAAGTTTTAGAGCACAACAAGAATAATTCATTTTCCGTTCAAGAAAGTGTAACATCCCAAAATTATACAGTCATCAACTATATACTTAGAATAATTACACATATCAATAACCCAAAACAGTCTTAAAACACAGGGATCGACAATAACGAAAGAGGATGAACGACCGAAAATGAAGAATAATTTAACGAGCGTTTACAAAAGATAAGGACGAACAGTTTACAAAACAATTACCGAACGTCCAACTATAAAACCAACCATAAAAGAGCGCTCGCTCACAGCCGCTCGCTACTCTAACTACACTAACTAGAACCGAACGCTCACTGTTCGGCCTTCACTTCAACTTCTACCAGATTTTCTTCAGCAAGCAACCCTTCTTCAAGCCTTTGTTCAAGGGATGCACCACCATCTGCTCACACCCACAACGGATGATCATTGCATTTTGACAAGACGGAAAAATACATGGACAGTAGACAACACAATGGAAAATGCAAGGGTAAGCTTATAATATTTAATTTATACAATCAACACATACATTTACATTTCAATTCGTACAAACAACATGTGACTTATCCAATAACAAACATAAAAATATATATAAGACAGACCGTCCGGATGTATGAACCGTGTAGCTACAGAACGCTCCTTTGCACCCGAGTGATTGTAGTAACGTATTACACTCTCGACAGCTGCCATCGAGGTTAATCCTTCGCCCCTGCTTAAGTGAGGGATACGAAAGGACCTCCTCATGACTACTCCCTTCTACGTGAAGATGAGTATCACGGAATATCAGGATGGACCAAGCCAGCATTAGCATGCCCACAGTCATACTTTACAAAACATCAATAATCAATCATCTCTGAGACGTTCCTCCTTGGAACGCTCGTTAAAATTCATTTCCAATAATTCGTTCACAATATCATTCGCCCATATTTAACAGTTCTCATATTCACATTTTCATTCTATGTTCCACTCTCTTAAATTGACAAACGTTCATCACTTGATCATTAAGGTCTAACATGTTACAATACTCATACATCTTCGTTTCTGAACAAGAGAAACGAGCATCATTTACTTAATAATTTGAAAATACTGATCTTAAAAGATATAGATGATACTTAGAAAGATTTTAAGTGTAGAGAATTCAGGTAGAATCCAAGGAATAAAACCAGTAAGAAATATTTAGATGAACAACCAATATGATTGATTTCAGAAAACAACACTGACAGGCAAAGAACGAACGTTAATTACCAACTTGGACGAACGTCAATTACGTTCGTTCAGAATGCAATGATAAGGACGAGCGTTCAGTTATAAGACCGAACCCTCCTTGAACGAACGCTGGGTCAATGACCGAGCATAATTTAGAACGAACGCTTAGTATAAACCGAGCGCTATCTAGGACGAACGCTTCGGTATAAGACCGAGCACCCATTGAGACGAACGTTCAATAAAATGACGAACGCTCTGTAAACGAACGTTCGACACGAGGTCGAACGACATCAAGGACGAACGCTCGACTGAAGGCCGAACGTAATGGAGGACGAACGCTCGACTTAAGGCCGAACGTCATTTGAGGACGAACGCTCGACTTAAGGCCGAACGTCACTCATTTATAAAGTTTTAAATATTTATCTATACTGAGCAGAAACGAACGCTCATTCACAAAAATGGGGACGCTCGTTCTCGAGCAGAATTCATTCCAAATGAATGAATCCCAAACTAAGTTATTTTAAATGAAAACCGAACGGTCTAAGACCGTACAGTGACGAGCGTCCTGTATCGAAGGGAAGATTAAATTCCAGATTTTCTCAACTTCACAGAATTTTCCATTTTTCGAACTTTACAACTTTCATTTCCAGATTTAATTCACCTTCAACATCGTTATCATACAGTTTTCAACATCTAAATCATTCCAACTATATCCTAAACATACTCCATTCATACCAAATCAATTCAACATGCATTTCAAACCATCAACAACATATATATTCCATGCAACCAGTGATCGTTCATGACAGATAAATCAAACCAGAAACCATATCAGATATCAGTAACTTCCATAACAGCAAAATCTTCAGATGTATCATACATGCAAATCAAAGCATATACATACAGTATAAATTAAACATTATAGGCTTCCCTTACCTGGTCTAGCAGTGAACGTTTAATAGTGCAACTTGATTCTTCCCAACTATGAATTTCTACCCGACAAGCTCTTTCTTACGCTCCTCAACTAGGTTTAACCAAAGGAGAACTCAGAAACTCAGATTTGTATCAATGCATGCAACTGAAACAGTGTTCCTAGAAATTCCAGAACTAGATTATGGCTTAGAGACTTACCGGTTACAGGATCAAAAGAGATTCGGATCAAAATGAAGCTTAATGGTCCGTGATCGTTTCTATGGTTTCAGAAAGTTGATTGGAGTTGAAAGAAGTGAGTAATGGTAGAGAGAAGAGGAAAGTTCTTAGTGAGAAGTTGGAGAAGACGAAAAGGTAAGTTCTGAGATTGAAGATGAATGGTGCAGGTGAGAGAAAGAGTTTTCGAAATCTGATTTTGTTTAACTCACGTAACTTTGGACGAACTTCTCCCACGCTGACACCTGCATACCAACTCTGAACTGGAGGCTTCCAACGTGACAAGTGGCGTGTGTGCATGCGGAGTTTAGTGCGTTTTTAATGCACTGAGGGTGTGACGTGGTGCGTTTTCCAGTGCACAGCAGAGATGAAATCAGAGTAGTGGTT